ATTCCTGTGAGCATTTCACTGCTAAAATCATAGTCCATACTGCCATTATGATGGAAAGAAAATCTACATAAAGAACAAATATTTATAGCATATAATCTTAAATATATACAAGACAAAAGTGGTAACGGTTCTTACCATTTTTAAAATAATAATATTGTTCACCTGTAAAATCTAATTTCCTGATAGTTTCTGGTTCGGTTTTGTAATATAATTTATTTACAATAAACCAAATTGAGTAACTTTGATAATACGGCACAGACATCCCAGCAAGACTGAACTGCTATGCGGGCCCCTGGAAAACAACTTGAAAAGTGGAAATGAATAATGATCAACAGTAAAAATAATAGTAATAAATATAAATAAATAAAAATAAATCAACAATCAAGGAAAATGAGAATTAAGATAACAATGACAGCAAATAAAATCACAAATAAAAATGAGAGAGTTAAAGTGGACTTAGAAGACAGATGGGAGTAGAGCGGCCTTGTTCCCAGCATTAGTCAAGGGGGATTCATGGCTTCCCTAAATTTTAACAATTAAAAGAATATAATCATTTAATTGCACAGTTACTCAGTAATTTGTTCTATGTCCTTACTAGCTCCATATCAGTCCTTATTCCATGAAAATAGGTGAAGCCCTAGTCCGGGGCAGCCCGGTTTTACCCGGCCATTTCCCGTGCCCGAGCCCCTCCCGAGCCCGGTTTTACCAACCCCCAGACTGGGGCTGGTAAGACATACACTATGATGGGACCAAGGGATAATCCTGGAGTTAATGTAAGATCAATAAAGGAATTATTTAATATCATGAAGGAGAAGGATAAAACTGACTTTGAAATGAAAGTAAGTCAATTAATGAAGAACATTGTATATATGATTACTTATGCTGCATAGCAAGTTTGAGCTGATTCCGACTTCAATTTTTCAAGTTATGGCCACCATTTTAAGAAATGCCAAAATTCTGAGAAATACCCAAGGCTGCAGTCCATGGTTTTTCCAAAAAAAGGCTCCAAAATCACCCCAAATTTTTATTACATTTTCTGATATTGATGTCCTTATGCTGTGTAGCAAGTATGAGCTGATTCCAGCTTCAATTTTTCAAGTTACGACCATTTTAAAAAACCTTAAAATTTTGAAAATTTGTGGTTTTTCCCAAAAAATGGCTCTGAAATCACTCCAAATTTTTATTCCATTTCCTGATACCTATTGATGTCTTTATGGTGTGTGGGAAGTGATTCATTATTGATATTTTGTATGTTATTAGGTGTCAATGGTTGAAGTGTACAATGAGTCAATTTATGATCTATTGAAGTCACCAAATGAAGTACAAGAGAAACTTCAAATACACAAAAAAGGAAAAGAACTACACGTACCAGTAACATACAAATAATAATAATAATAATAATAATAATAATAATAAGTGTTGTTGT